TTATAATATGTAATAATGAATGGTTAATCCTCTATGTAGGAAGTAAATAGAATATTTCATGTTGTATTCTTTGTCTATATTTTCATTGTTAACAGTATGTATGTTAAGATCTATTATAGCTATATTTATATACATTAAATGTCATGTGACTATTGTATAGTATATATTTAAATTGTACATATTGTAAGATGATGTACCATGTACAAATCTTGAATAAAATTTCTGTTCTGTTCTGTTCTGTTCTGTTAACAGATGTGTGTACTTTCAAGAAGCGACTAGAAATTTGGGAAGCATGGACTTTTCTTAAAGGCTGTCTTACGAACGCTGGGTTATTTACTTATCTTTCTGGCTGATGACTTTCATTGCTTTTACACACTACATCACATTCATTGCGTGTTAGCTACTGAAATATGCCCATATGTCATATTAAGGGCAGCTTTGCATGTGGAAAAAAGTATAAGTATCAGACTGTTATAATAAAATTCAAAATTAGAGACGATATTTAGTGACTGGTAAATTGAATGAATTGATGTAAATTTTATATTTTTGAATACGATTGAAATTTATGTCATTTATCAATTTCAGCTTTGCTTTCCTCTAATCAGGCTTGATTATGTCGGAATTATAAGCGAAAATAAAAGTGAAGTACTACATAGGGCAAATCTTTAAAAGTAATTTCAACATTTAAAAGAGTGAAAATATATTTTGATAATTTTGACTATGAAATTATCAAATATAATTAATCACAGATAAGTCAGTAATGCACTCAAAGGTAACACTTTAATAGTGTTAACATCAGTGTTAGATAATAAATCAATGTATGTTTATATGATATCCTTCTAACACCAATAAATGAGTGAGTGACATTCTGGATGACGTCATTACGTTGCTCATAAATCGTCATATAAATGGTACCATTTTATCGGAGGGAGTGCATATAAACAATAAAAGCCGTGTTGTTGTTTTTTTTAGTTTTTTTCCGGACAACAATCAGTTGAACTACATATGCAGTATTCTCGACAGAACAGTACAGATGAGTGTCAACTTAAAGGTCAATTAATTTGTATCCAGCCGTCTTTCTGATTGCGTGGTCCATCATCAAAATACTTATAAGACTATTTCTTTAGCAACAACAACAATTTAACTTGCTTTCTATCACTTGTTTAAAATGCAGAACTAATAGATGCAGATGCTTTCATATTAATATAAATGTATTTAAGCCAACACTTCAATAGTTAATTATGTGTTAAAAAATAATTGCATGAAAGTACCGGAATAAATATGATATCAAAAATACTGACGTTGTGGGGAGGGCTGTTGCTAATGTCGTCATAACTTGTAGCCCGACCCATTTGCACTATACCTCTTTGTAAATATCGATTTTTGTATCATTCATGTAACTTTAATATACGAGTATTTATGTAAAGATTAGTTGCAATAAAATATTATTAAACTATGTGTTACAGCCTGTCAAATAATTGTGATGCACTAAAATATAAGTACATCACTATAATGTACAGTGGTTACTAAAATGACCTTTAATCGAACAGCGTGCCCAACGGACAATATAGAAGTTTTAAATATGTACCACTAAAATATCTTTACTTAGTAAGTTTTTTATGGCAACTATATTCAAATCGGCAATATCTTTATTTGGTTCTTGGTTCCTCCCGACGGAGTTACTTTCCTCTCTACCGTCCGCACTGACTTACGCCCGGAATTAGTTAACTTGTCATCATGAAAAATTAATTATTGTGCGGATTTGGGTGTACCCTTCGCAGATGTAGGGGGGTATATAGCTCAGCACATGTCGCTCTTGCATATCGTTTAAACACATTAAATATACGACAATTACTTCTTGATCGTAAATTGTGATTTTCGTTATTGATAAAAATAGTTGTTGTATCTTTTAAATGTATTTAGCCAAATGAGAGGCGGATAAAAGTTGTGACAAATATTCCATTTCAGTCAAATGTCAGTCATAGGATACAAATATATCACATTAACTATTCAACATCGTTTGCCGACCAACAAAATATAAAACGCTCTACTTTATCATATAGACAGGAAAATTTTGTCACTTATTTATTAATGTAAATAATTTTGGGATTGGAATGAAGTGCGCATGTGTTAGGTCACTGTTTAGAGCATACTCGCTGCTCTTATTTTTTAGGGGTTTATTAATTCTGACAACAGGAAAAGAGATAACAATAGTAAAGTCATATTCAGATGCTCCTTTATTGGTTTCTTTTTCCTGGCGTTTATTATTGTGACGACATGGAACGTGGTTTTATATTTGACTATGATACAAAATAGAAAGAACATCAAAACACTCGGCAATCTGATTTATACTCGATTATCGTTCTTGTCCTTGTATCATAGTTTAGATACTTTACTACTGAAAACGTGTCAGAGTTAAATCGTATACCAATACAAGCACAGTGCGTTAACATTAGTTTGCATCATAGTTTGGGGACCTTTCTGTTGAAAATGTGACAGAGTTAAATCGTTTACATATACATGCACAGTGCGTTAACTGGAGTGCAGGTATTAGTAACCCGCACTCCAGATCATGCCCATTGATTGGTTCATTTTGTCCGGGGTTTACATATTGTGACGACAGAGAAAGGGATAGCAATGGAAATATCATATTCAGATGCTCGTTTATTTGTTCCTTTTTTGTGGGGTTTCATATCTTGGTATCAGGGAATGTGTTTGTATGTTTGACTACGATACAAAAATGAAAGATCATCAAAACACGCGGCAATCTGATTTATATTCGGGGGCTACGCCCCCTTGTACAAATCAGATAGCCTCGTGTTTCGATGCTCTTTCTAATACTTACCCGCTCTCACTGTCTGTGTAAAGCATGCCCGATGAATGGCCCATTTTTTCTGGACGAATGGGAACGTGTGTTTATTTTTGCTACGCCTTCTCGTACAAATCAAATAATCTCACGTTCCGATGCGCTTATTATTACTTATTAAATGGAGCAATGATAGACAAACAGAAATATGAGGGGGACTATCGGCCCCGTCAAACTCCTCAAAAGAACGGAAAGAATGAAAATATATATCACTCATTACGATTCACAAATAAACATCCACAATTAAAGGTAACTGTTTATGTCAGCGAATACATTTTCCCGTGATATTTCTTAAATTCGGTGTACTATTTAGAACTATGATAGATGTATTTGCATTTAAATAAAATTGCAAGATTTCTGTAATGAAAATACCATTTATTACGTTTTTAATGTCTTTAACGTGTTTTAACATTAAATTTGGTCCGACATATAGTAAGACACCCTATATCTGAAATGGCTATTTACATTGTCAATAACAATTTACAAACTTGCAAGTTATCGTATATATTTAAACAATATCTTTGTTTGAATCATATTCCTATGATTAACATTGGTTCATTTTAGATGAGGAAGCTATCTTAGTAGCTTATAAAAGCTCGGTTGTTCTACTTCTATAACATTGTATAACAACCTGATTAAATTTTCCATCTTTGCTTATACCGTTGTAGCCTTTGCTTAAACCGTTGTAGCATTTGTTCGCAAACGGTATCCGGTATGCCCGGATTCATATATCAATTTTCGCAATTGAGTAGGCCACTATATTTCAAGCTTACGATTAAATCGATAAATTGGTCAACATACATATGATATAATTAATCATTTATTTTTAGTACCATAAATTACTACATTGTACAAATATAAAAACGAAAACAGTTATTCGTTTTCCTATATGTTTGATACTATCCCGGATTCCGTGCGTTCCGGACCACAGGTCGCGAAATTGTCCTGTACAATCACGTGATACAAGGAAAGAACCGGATGAAAGATTTCCGTACTATAATAAAGGAAGGGATTTCCCGTTGGTGGAAAAGCGAACTGTTTTTTTAGAGCAATAATGTTAAAATATGAACATTTTGAAGTGCCTCCACTATATAATGTTTATGAAGGGGGATTTTAATATTAGTAAGCTGGCAAATTTTCTGCTAGCTGCTTTAAAATTCTAAACTTGTTTGACAAAATAATCGATCCATATGAATATAATGGCAAATATAAAATAGAGATAACATAATATTTTCGAGCGGTAAATAAGTATATATCAACAAAAACTCTGCGCATGCCTTGATCATGAAATTTTGAAACATTACTTTTGCAGTATCTTATAATGATTGAATTGCTTAAGACAGTTGATAATTACCTTTGTTTCGGGACAGATAACGTGCTTTTTTATTTTGTCCATACCCGCGAATCACGACAGGATGATGGTGAAAACGCGATGGCACAATGGGATGATGATGAAAACACGATAGTGCGCTAATGAAAAGACAATGTTATGATGGCGAAGTCGCAATTTTGCGATGGTACAGTCATGAAAACGCGATGTTATTTATATCGCTATTCCACCATCGTACCCTCGCATTTTCACCGTCGTAACATTGCAAACATCTCTATAACCTGTGCACATAAGAAATATAGTAAAAATAAGTTAAAATACTAACTATGAATAATAAAACCTGTTATCTTTATATTTACATTTGTAACATAATCCAAGAAATAGATCAAAGACTCTTAAATAAATGGTTCTGTTTGCATTTCTTTCTTTTGTTTTATTTGAGATACAATGTATTAACTTTAAACTTCATATGTAGTGTCCATTTGGATGACAACTTTACTGTTCATATTTTTGAGTAATAACCTTTTGTGTTATTTTTCATGCTTCAAATACTAATTACTCAAAGAATATTTGAGATATCAATTTGATACTTGATAGGAAGTAGATCTCATAGACACGCATATAGAAAGAGTGCGGAGTTTAAAAATAAGAACTCATAGATTGATGGTAAATATGTACTATTATGTCATATACCATCGCGTTTTCTACCCTTGTATCGTTGTGCATCGCGGGTAAAGACGAAATAAAAGTGTCCGAACGGAACAGCGTACAACAGCAATAAAAATGTTGAGATTATAAAAGTAAAAATGCATGGAATGCATAGATTTATTTCAGAATATAAAAAAAAATCTTGTATGTTTGCTTTGATAATCAAAACTACGTATTTTAAACAGTTCCTAGACAGCATGGCCTCTTCACACATTCCGTTTCTCCATCACAAACAAATCAAAAACTTTATTAGAACTAACATTCAAATAGCAAACAATTAACAAACACCGTGCATAGCTTTCACTTTGATTTCAACATTCCTAATCTGTACATCAACCCCTGTGTAATAACCTACACCTCCCATCTCTCTTTTCCCATACACCCCGTTAAAGTTGCCAAGCTTGTAGCATGCCTTATACCACCATCCACCTCCATCAAGGTCTTTACAACAGTTAGATGAGGAATCATCATTATCTCTGTCATAGGTAGAAAATCGTTGGTTGTCATGGTAACTTAGGAGCTCTTTGATAGAACCCCTGTATCCAAAGGCATCAACATTCATTCTGTATGCTGTCGCTGCCTCGTGAACGGTGAAAACGTTATAATGCGCATAATCTCTTGAACCGTCATAGTTTTCCATATCAAAATATATCCGAGATCCGTCTCTTGTTAGGCGGTGTATTTTCTCCAGGCCAAGCCAAAACGACCCGTCAATATCACCAAACCCAGTAACGTACTCTCTCCATGGTCTGTAGAAGCTAATACGTCCGTCAACGCGCCGCTAGACAAAAACAAAATAATATAAACTAAATGTTCATATAATTATAATACAAAAAAAGAAATACCAGTAAGATAAAACTATGAGAGAAATTTTGCAAAATTTTATGCAAATTTATGATGACCCTTGTCCGCTCACCTGAGATAAATTGCTAGAAAAGTTCCCAATTTCAAAAGTTCCCAAAAAGTCAATTATTAGGTCACATCAGTTTGTTATAATTTTCAAAACATTTAGAGAAGTCCACAAGAATCGGACAAACTGAAAATCGAGAGGAATATAACATTCGTAGAGGAGCAGAAAATGATGCTACATCAAAAGTATTTATGCGGTGTGCATCAGAGTTTCAGAGGGAAATATTTTTACGACATGTTTACTATGAAGGTCTTCATAAACTATATGATAGGTTTGTGTGGACATTTTTTACACAAGAAGATTTCAATATATTTTCCTATTATAGATGTCTTACACTATATAAATTAGGCAACCGCCGTAACAAATAAATTTTGACTTTTGTATCGGACAACAAGGTGATGCTACATACAAAATAGCTAAGGTCTGGGTATTGTAGTTTCCGAGAAGAGGTTTCATAGACATATTGACTATAAACGTCAAATATGGTAACAAGGAAACTTCCAGGCAGGGGCCATTTTGCTCGAAAGTATATAATTAATAAAACTTTTGTAATGTCTTGTAGACAATACTGCATGTATGCTAAAACGAGGCAACCCTGGTTGAGTGTCTTTGGTCGCCGACTACATTTTTTTTGTAGATTCGCCGATGTGGTTCGAATCCCGCCGGAGACTGGATTCTTTCATGTGGAAAGATACAAAGCTAGCTTACGGGAGACTGATGCTACTGAATCAATGAACGACATGGCACTTGATGTATTCTTCTACAGCTAAAACTGACAATTTGTCAAACAAATTTTAAAAACGAAAAAATGAGTTTTTTCTGTGTAAGTCGGTATTAACATACGGAGAGTCAGTCTGTACATCAGGGGTATGGTGTATGTAAGGTTTTAGTGGACAACAAGATGGTACCGCATGCAATAATCTAAGCATTCTGAGGACAGGATTTTAAATATTTCATTTTTAAGTCTATCTTGAGCGTCTTTGATATTCTTATACAGAACACAATTTCATCTTGACTTGAACAAAGTATAAATCATACAGAATGCTACAAATATACTACATGTATATATTAATTTTACAAAACAAACGTATATATTAGTAATATATTTTAAAAAGAATATCACATACATTTTTAATGTGTTTGAAATCGATAAAAGTAAATAACGTGTTACTGAAGATAAACATTTTGGCATGTAAATTCTTAATTGATAGAATTAACAATAGAATTCTTGCAATTCAATGATTCCATTTTGTTAGATTTTGCCAAATAAGAAGTAATTATATTCAAATTACTATTAAATTTCAGTTATTTTCTAATTGTTTTATGAATCATATTGGGGCCATTTAAATCACTTTCGAGCACTAATCAACCCTGTGAAGTTTAGAAAATGTACCTCTAGTGGTCTGAAAAAAAGAAAATGTTTATTTGAAATAATGGGATAAAATAAAACATCACCGCCGATATAAGGACCAAGTTCTTTAATCAAGTATTTATCAATTGTTTTGTTAATGTTAAAATAAATGAGCATAACTTCGTATTGTTCACATGTAATTGCTTACCTGAATAACTGTCCAGCCGCCATTCTTCATGTCACAGTAAACAAGAAAAGGACATCTTCCGTCAGGCGAGATCATATACATGCCATCAGTTCGTGTACCATTTTCATAAATTTCTTCACATTCTAATTGAAAGAAAACGATTTTGTTTTAAAATTACCTATCAATTACCTGGCAACATATCCTTAATTTTAGATGCGTTTGCTTTATGTTCTGTTCATAATAGTTATTAATATCTTGTAAAACAATGATAAATGACCTTAACATTTGATATCTAAATGGGAGAAATGATTAATTTTACATTTATTAGACAAATTAACAACTTTTTTTTCAATTGATAGGACTATTTCATCCTGAAACATAATATTATGCTAGTAGAAACACCGTACCTTTAGGAAATCCGTCGATTGTCGTGTATGTATTTATCCCATTCATTTGGCTCAGCCTTTGGAACTGTTTCATTTGCATCTCCAACGCTTTGAACCTTTTCTCCAGGTTTGTAAAGGCTGAAGAAGACGCAATTGAATCTGCCTTTGCCGTGCAAATCCAACTATTGTCTCCAAATGTAAACATGACATTTGTAGAAAAGATTAAAACCTTAATGAATTTTAATCCTAAATTCATAATTGAACCTTGCAAAATGGACTGTCGTACAAGTGAAGTGTTACTTGAAATTAGGATTTATTGTATACGTTCATAACCAACTTAGATGAAAATACTTAAAAGATATATGCAAAAATCATCGTTAAGGACGTAGATGCTAATCAATGGACAACGATAGATACAAAAGGATTTCAATTGTCTCCTTTTTGCCATTGAAATTTTATTCAGTTTTTGTTTCATGTTCTTTACAAATATACGAATATCAATTTCCATGAAGAGGGCTACATTTAAAAGAATATGGCAGATAGTTTTGTTACAAAATACTGATACAATCTGAAAAAAATTGCTAATTTGTTTAAAATGTTTAAATTTACAAATGCATGTACTTGTGATTTTTAAAGTTTTGAACTAAGCTCTTTTTTGTTTTAAAAGATTTTCCGTTCAGATAATTGCAGTAATAAATGGACGGTCTCAAATGATGAGCAATATTAGCGGTAACCTTGATTAGTAGTTATGCATGCGTTCATTCAGCAATCGGGAAAATTTTAGTCTTTATTTTTTTTAACGAAATTATACTGTTTTTCAGATCCTCAAATAAAAATAGCTTTTCTGATACACAACATGTCAACGAGTTTTAAGGAATTAAAATAATCGTTTAACTTAAGTTAGATATAATATTCTGTTCATTTTCATCTTTTTTATGTATCCAATAAATAACGTATCAATGAGCCAGTCTACATTCTAACGACGGGAACCAAATTTGGAAAGGGAACCAGGGATATGACTAAAATACGAAACGTAGATTTTTTGGCGCAACGGCTGCAACTAACATATTATTTGCAATAGGTTGTTTTGAAGGATTCTACGCTGGCATAGTCTTGCCGCAAATAAGTTGATAGTCTATAAAAGGAACAATGTATGGTTATAAATAACAAAATAGAGAAAAACAGAATCCCTAAAGAAAGTTCAATACAACAAAATTGAAAATGTTGCAGGCTCGGATTGGTTGAGCCTGTTCATGGACGGTACTGAAAAGTGTAAAAGTTACCGTCCACGCCCCTAGCACCGGCTTAAGCAGAATTCAACATTTAACACGAAAATGGTGAAATTTTGAATTTAGAAACATCCGCAGATGTGTTCATACGGCGGTTATCATGAATAATAATCGAACTAAAATGAATTATATATAAACTAAATATATTAAAGACGTTTTCCGGAGTTTTCATATAGACATATAGGCAAAATTAAAACTGTTCAATAGAATTTCTTTTAACTTGGGATGTTATTAGAATATGATAACAGAAACATTTTAAACGGAAACAAATTTGGGATCACCCTTCTAATTTTTGAGTTATCTGCCCTTGATTCACACTCCATCTGTGAGTGACCCGATACAAAAAATGTGTGGCAGATCAATCTTAAAATTGGAAAAAAAAGATACGCAGAATTGATTTCTGTTTTGTTCCCATCATGAATCTGAAAAATATTAACTTCTTTGACATCATCACTTCAGCAAACAGAAAGGGTGTTTTTCATTAAGCAGATAGCTTTTTCAAATTCTCCTCTTTACCAGTTGGTTTCATCCCATATATGACATACAACACTTGTGTCCCAATAAATATACTGTCAAGTTGTAGCAACAGAGATTCCTTGACTCACTAACAAGCAAAAGGTTTTTAGGACGGCCTCGGGATCAAAATATGCAACATAAACGCATGTATCAATTTTTGCTTTTACTTTATGTTTAGTCTTTTCTTCTCGTGCATTTTCATTCTGTTTTTGATGTTCAAAATAGTATCTTCTTTGAGTGCGCCATCTAGTGTGCCTGCTGTCTTTCTTCTATGTTACAGTGTAGATAATGAACATTGGTCTTTCTTGTGTTTGTAAAATGAGTTGTAATTCTAGGTTGTAATTTTCACAAAAGACCTTCCTATAAATATGTTGCATAACAAGATTTACTGTCGTCTTTTCACATTCAATGGTATACAGTTTCCACATCTTTTTAATGTTTAAGTCATGTGATTGGTATTGTTTCTTTGAGTTTGTTTTTGCATTATAAAAAATTCTATTTTAGGATATGACTCTTTATGCTGTTTCACCTATTTAACTGTACCATAATCTATATTATATGCAGCTGTATGCTTCCCTCGTATATCCCCTTCCATATACCCCATGTTTCTAGTTGGCATGTGTATAGTCAATTGTTTTTCCTTTAACGTCTATTCCTTTTGTAAAGTAGTCCCTACATACACATTCTTTTCTCCAATTGTGTGCAAGGAAAAACTGTTGTGTGTATGATTTTTAACTAATGAGCTAATTATCTTCACAATATTATCATCTCCAATAAACAGAGAAACACTACTAAAAGATACATTATTATATGTGATGTCCTTATCAACATCTAGATTCTTTATTTATAAACAAGTTAAAAGGTACCTAGCAAACAATCTGTTATATAAAAATAATCTTTAAGGTTGTAAATTATTCGTGTGCAGAAAGGGACCATGTGACAAATTTATCCTTTTTGCATTAAAAAAGTGCTACTCATTCAAATAGTTACAGATGCTGTCATATTAATATAGTTGTCTTGTCTGCTAACACTTACATAAATAATTTTGTTTAAGTGGCTGTCAAATGACTGTGATGTACTATAATAAAAGCACCTTACTATTATGTATTAAAAGAGGCTACTAAAAATGACCTTTAATCGAGCAAAGTGTCTAACGGATAGTTTAGAAGAAAGGTTCTTAAAATATGTAACACTCAAATTATATTGACTAAGTCCGTTTTTGATAGCAACGATATACAATTCGTCATTATCTTTATTTGGTTCCTCCCGACGGTGTTACTTTTCTCTCTACTGTACGGCCTGACTTACGCCTGGCATTCTTTTACTTGTCATCATGAAAGGTTAAATATTTCGCTGATTTGTGTGCAACTTTCAAGGATGTTGGGATATAATGTTTCGCACATATCGGTCAGCCAGATTAAGAGGTCAATAGGTAAAAGTCAGAGTCACAATGGCCTGGCTACATGACTTATTAATTGGCGTTGGAAAGAAGGCATATTTTTTTTCCACACATATTTTCTTTTAAGTTAGGGAGCGTGGTCGATATATCTTGTATTTCATTCGTCATAACCCAATCCCATGCATCCTAGTTTGGTGAGTTTAAAGTGCTGCCTTTCATATCTTATCAGTAAGTTTGTAATACTTATATGCTGTTTGTTTGACTGTACGTCACAATTTAATCATCTCTACAGATTACGTAGTACAAACGAGACAAATATCATACCTCCTTTCATAGATCACACTTTGGGTTGTGACAAATATTCAATTTTAGATAAATGTCAGTCATACGGTACAAATATATCACACATAGTGTTTTGCTGACAAATGAAATCGCTCCAATGTTAAAATTGCCCTTCTAAATCGTATTGACAGGAAAATATTGACACATTTATTTAATCGAAAACTTGATAATTAAGGGTTTTGAACTATGTACGTATAAGTTAACTGAATGAATTAGGCCCAACGTATTGCGACGTGGCATCCGTCAAATTGTGTCAACGTTCCTTCATACAATTAATTACCGCTTTTTGTGATGGGGTCGTTATGTTTATTATCTCATGGAGAATTTATAGACACACCCACACATTTTGGCTCATTTAAAACTAGCATATATTAAACATAAATGGACGATTGTCATTCAAGCATGTGTCAATTAATAAACAGAACTTAGGAACACAAATGGCTAAGTCTCATTGTGTAGGGGCTATTTATTATTCGAATAAGTATTTTCAACATGGAACTGTCTTAAACCCCACCTAAAATCATACAGAGAGGGAGTGGATATGATTGATATCACATCATTCACGTTAGATATTTTTCAAAATAATAGAAACGCATATTGATTGATGTAAATGAAATGTATTCCCTTAATTCTATTATCAAAGCCACTGTTTGTAATCCCCGTATGATTGCATTTGCATCAACAGTAAGCTGTTCGGGGTAATGCTAATTATAGATAATGCCACCATTTTATTTGAAGCCTGAAATATTAAGAAACTAATTAATGAAATTAATCCTGGATACCAACTGACGACATTAATCTTCCATGTAACAGCTATTTATATTATATAAATATTTGGTTTATACGGAAGTAATTTTAGTACGATTATAAAGGAAGCTATAAGCTTACAGACACACAAAAAATCTGTTCCTGAAACAAACCAGTACTGAGCAACCAGTTTCTTGCTCAAGGAAAGAACAACTTCCATCTGACGGGATTTGAACCCATGAACCTAGCGATCAGTAAAATCTGTTTAATCTTTAAGTACCATACATATCAGAATCTTTAATCATTTATTTAACAATTTTAGCTAACGTATCAAACTGGATTGTATTGTGTTAACATCAGTGCTTGATAATAAATCTTTACCCTAATCCATGTATATTAATATGACATCATGATGTCGCCAATTTATGAATGAGTTGTATACTGGGTGACCTCATTGCGCAGCTAATAAACGTCATATCAAAGGTACCGTTGTTTAGCCATTTCATCGGAGGGGTTGCACGTAAACAATAAAAGCCAGTGTTTATTGGCAGTTTGAACCAAGTGTGCAATCACTTCAAGGCCCTTTGGCTTGGAAATATCACAACGTGTATTTGAATGAAAATGCTGATACGCGAATTTATTCAAGATTATGTCAGGCTTCGATTTTAAATTTGTTTATTGCCCTTAATTGCATATGAATACAACTGACTACTACAATGCATTATGAATTAACTTTTCAATATAAGACACGTTTTCACTTCAAATGTAAGCCTTATATGAAGTTCACCACGACATTATGGACATAAACCAAGGCTATTATGCAAGAAGTACGGCCTTTATGAGAAAACTCGGCTATTATGTGACTGGATAATTTTGATTGACTCTCCAGCTCGACCGTAATGAATCTACTTTTTATTGAAAAAGTCGCCAGTTTGAATTGGTGCAAGGAATGTTTCTGAAACATATTTAAAACAAGAATGCCCTTTGAAATACACCAAAACAACGGAATTTTACATGTGTTATGTTTTGTTCACTAACTACTTTGTGAAGTTAATTAATAAAATTGTCAATAATTAAGTGGCCTCAGGCATATATGACAGTATTCAGCAAAATAACAAGGCCATAACAAAACACTTTTTAACATTATATTATTTGTTTATTTAATATTCATGTAATAAAAGTTGTTCTGATGATAAAAGTAGTATGTAGTGAGCATACAGCTGGACACTATATTCAGTCTCGAAGATACCAATTTATAACTTTGTTGGATGGAATACTTTCTGTTTTTGCTTATCATTTATCTGTATAGTACTACAATGTATAAGTTAGTAACGTGCTTAACTCCTTATACAAGCTTATGTTATGACCATACAATAATTATTTTGTGCAAGTTTATAGACATGGCGTGTAGATATGTATAAATAAGGGAAGTACAGTGTATAGGGGCTCCCGTTATAAATACTGTTTTATTCTTTTGTACGTCGAAACGGTCTTCTTGAAAATTATCATAAGAATTGCTATACATTGTTTTATGGTCTTTTCATGCAAAGAAAAACATGTACACGTATAAAGATGAAGCTACCATTAAGAAAATAAACTACAACGTTAGATAAAAGTCAGTTGTGCTTTCGATTATATAACAATTTTCACATTATGGTTCAACTTTATTTTTTATCATGTTCTAAATAGGCTCTGTAAGTCGTAAAATATGGTTCAATTTACAAATTCTCTTGAATATAGCTGGGTAATTAAAAATTTCCTGTTGTGTTATCATTATTCAATACTACATTCAAAAAACAAAAAAGCATGAATTTAAGAAATTAAATAGAATCCCTGTAGAAGGTCCCAAATGGCAATATTGAAAATGTTGCTTGCACAATTTGAATAAGTCTGTTCATATACGATAGTGAAAATTGCAACCTATCCTCCAGGTCACTTAGTTCCGGCTTAAGCAGAATTCAACATTTAAACAATTAATGTAAGCAAATGGTGATGTTTTGAAGTAAGAACATAGCCACATTTTTCGTTAACGTTTTGAGTTACATAAAATAAGAAGTACCTTTTACTGAATACGATGTTTCTCACTAGACGATTGCATATTATATATAATATATTCACATATCATATTATCGAGAAAATTGTAATTAACTTACGTCATTGACGTAGGGAGAATCTTAACTTACATAACGCAATAGCGCTAATGAGGAAGTTAATGTATTCATAAACATGTTAATGGTGTATGGTTCCCGTCAACATTGGATGTGTCTATCGCGTTTATGGAATTGGAATTTTATTGGACAGTTAATGTTTAATTATAGCAAAAACAGCGGTGAAGCAGATAGGATAAAATTGTAAAATACAGCAAAATACATGTAAGTGCTTTTATTTCTTTTCTTATCATATCTTTACACACTTTCGTCATATATACTATAAGAAGTATGCATTTGTAAATTATCATTTTAATAATGACATCACAGATCGTAATAAGGATAGCAGAAACTTACCGTGTCATCATAAAACGTATATTGAGTTTTTATAAAGTTTTTTTCTATAAATAAAGGATTTATTTTCATCGAGTGGCATGCAAATAAATTTTTCATGAGTGGCGGTAGGCACGAGTGAAATATGATAGTTTGCATGCCACAAGATGAAAATAAATTCTGTATTAATAGAAATAAATCTTGATTTTTCTGTTTATTATATACATTTTTTCTCTTTTTTGACATTACAATTTGAAAGACTAACACACATTTTATTTTGATATAAATATTTATGTTATTGCAGTGTACACTGCTTGAATTAGAGTTGGTACTTATTGAATTGCATTTACTAAAATATTACATAATTATTGCGTTTTGCAAGAAGATTTTTATAAAGGTATTCAAATATCCTTATGATTTATATATATATATTTAGATCACAATGTTATTATAGCATTACATATTTACGCGATGTCTGGATCTTAAGTCCACTATTGAATTTTAAACACTTAGTCTATTTTAAACTATAATGGGATCAAAATGAATTTCACTCAAAATCCTGCTTTGTCCTTTGAAGGATGTGTAAATAGTTGTTTTTTGTAGGAATATATATACGATTATTATATGATGATAATTATATGAATATAATAAACAGAAAGATAAAAATACATTTTGAATATACAGTGGTCAATATTTTACTCTAAAATAATGTGACAAACTGTTAATAAACCGACGTCCAAAAGATATCACATCGAAGTTCTTCATTTGTCACATGTTTGTATGATATCTATATTTTATTGGATACAGTAATGTATTAATGCTTTGATACAATTGGCATGCACTGTGACATTAACATAGCAAACTGTGACATTACTTTTGTAGTTGAGTAAATGAACATGTTTTCCGATTACCTTACAGAATGGCAATAATTGCAAGTTTCATTTGTAAGCTTGTTTTTATAATAACAATATCTACATCATTATCGGAGCCATTGTTGCGAGGCAGTATGACGTCAGCAGATTCTTTAAATAGAATGTTATCAAAGAAATCTGCTACGGACCTTGCTAACACTGTTTTGCTTGCACCAAATACTTGTCTACCAACTGATGACTTCAATATAGATTTGGAAAATCTTATACAAGTTAGTTTTATCTGCAATAAAGAAATGTTAAGTCGTTCCCGCTTTATCTATATCACTAATGGTTCCGTCACGGGAAAGCACGAATCTCAATATTATTATACAAAATCCATTCGAAGAAATATTTCTTAAAAACAGGTCGATACTTTCTGTTTTACGAGAACAATGTTAGAAAGTGTCTTTATTATACCAGCAGAAGGCATTTGGTTTTTGTGGCCGTCATAATTATAAGTTACAACATATTGCCTTGATTTCAATTTCATTCAATGACAATATAAATGTAAGTATAGTAAGATAATTATCGGACGAAAAAAGGCAAAATAAACTGTTTTTTTTTAAGTCAAACAACTATAATATTGGCTCATGCGTCAAATTAACACATTAATAAGTACTTTAATCTTTCGCTCTTACATGGCTTGGTCAGTTATTTTTGTTCACCAATACTGTTACATTTCAGCCTTGTTATTTGTTTAACACTTTAGGAAAAAAATCATTGTTATGAATGACACATAAAATTGCTCATTAAGACAAATTACTAGTAATGTTGACTAAAGGATACGCTCTTTCGAGTAGAAGAGTATATTTATCTACCTTTCTTCTAACCAATATTCAGTTATGCTTATCAATTTATTCGTTTCCTACTAGCACATGTTAAAATGACTTGCATGATAATTTTATTTTGTTTTCATATTTTGGTTCATTGTTTGGCTATCTCGAACTCATGATTTTTAAAAAAAAACATTAAATTACGTTCCTGTTTCGTACAAATATTTCTACAACAGCAAACCTAGCAATGTTTTTGTTACTTTATTCATATATTTATATCTGATATTTATATCTGCTTTTCTTATAGATGGAGCTATCTAGAATGCAAAGTTGCATTACCCATCACGACTCAGAAAGAAACATCAACAATTAAAGGTAATTTCTCATGTCACCAATGTCACTTTTTCTTCATTATTTTTATTATATTCAGTTAACTATTATGCGCCAGAATATAAGTATTTGCTTTAAAAAAACATCATTCGATATTAAGTCAAAGAAAAACATTCTATGGAATTCTATTGCTATGATGTATGATACTATTTAGAATTTATATTTAATAATACAACATGTATTTGGTCTGAGCTTACATCACGCATCCCAAACATAAAATGTGTTGCTCTAACAATTCATAAACTTACCAGTTGTCGTATATATCTTGGAGTTATATTTGTTAAGTAATAGAAAGAGCATCGAAACACGAGGCTACATGTATCTTATTTGTAAATTATATATATATAAATCAGATTGCCGAGTGTTTTGATGTTCTTTCTTTTTTGTATCATAGTCAAACATAAAAGCACCAGTAAAAACAAAAGTAAACCCCAGCAAAAATGAACCGATCAATGGGCATGCTCTGGAGTGAACTAATACCCGCACTCCAGTTAACGCACTGTGCATGTATATGTATACGATTTAACTCTGACACATTTTCAACAGAAAGGTCCCCAAACTAAGATACAATAATCTTTATAATCTCCTCGTGAATTTCTAAATGAATTTGTTTTGAGCAAAATTATGATTAGTTTAGTATATAGCAGGTTTTTTTTAATTAAGTTTTTTAAAAGGTCACAAATTTATTTGCAAATTCCTCATTATGTCTTCAAAACTAATTTATAAATCCGTATCACCTAACTACAAAATGAGTTGTGTCGAGAATCTGATTATTTGATTTAATAATAAAAAACTATGGTCAGATGATTCAAGATCATAAGAACTTGTATCATAGTTTGGGGACCTTTCTATTGAAAATGTGTCAGAGTTAAATCGTATGCATATACATGTACATGCACAGTGCGTTAACTGGAGTGCAGAATTATTAGTTACCCGCTCTCTAGAGCATGCCCATTGATAGGCTAATTTTTGCTCATTTTACTTATTGTGACGACAGAGAAAGGGAAAGCGATAGAAATATCCTATTCAGATGCTCGTTTATTGGTTAATTTTTTCTGGGGTTTTATATTGTGACAACAGGGAATGTGCTCTGATACAAAAGAGAAAGATCATCAAAACACTCAACAATCTGATTAATACTCTGAGGCTACGCCCCCATCGTACAAATCAGATAGTCTCGTATTTCGATGCTCTTTCTATTACATGTCAAACATTTATGAGCTGTTCTGATATATTTACAGGTGACTGGTTGATACAAAGAAGATGTGGACTTTGGTTAATGCTTTTATCGTCAAACATCCTTTTCAAGAGTGGTTTTCTTTCATTAAAAAAATAAAAAATAAAATTACAATTTAAAATGACACTTTTGAAGAATTAAAAGACAAAAAAGCAACAGAAGTTTGTACAAATAACATGTTTTTATTATTTCGTACGCTCCCTTCGCAGCTCAGTGAATACACTCCCAATACTTCACACTTAAGAAATTAAATGACAGTGAAACATTTGACCAATGCACAGGAGAGTAGACTTAGTGTCGATTATAACATAAAATGAAAATGCCTTTAGAATATGAATATATATTGATATCCAACCATAAGTGATTTATCAATCATTTGTCAATTGATGTTTTGTGTAACTTTTATCATTTTTGGTAAACATCATTCATCTACTTATTCCAGTACAATGCATCACAATTACACCAAATCACGTTGTATATCCACCTTTCTTTTAATTCGATACGTATCAATTTTACTTGTCAAAATAAGAATGAGGTGTTAATCAATTGTACCAATATCAAAAGAATTTATTGGTTCAAAAACATAATGAATACAGTTCAGAAAATATGCTTCTCACATGAAAGAAAAGTCATTATTTTTTAAGAACCAAGTGTAAATATACATGTATATTTAAAGCTGGGAAAGTCGGTTTGCATGATTTCATTCTCCAGGATATTTGTTTATTACGTTTCGGTTAATTTATTGTTCACTATATGTCGCGGCTACTTTGTAGCACGTTGCAGCTGCTGTGTACCAGGAAACACAAACATCATTTCTTTAGTCAATGGCCAAAAATCATTCAACCAGAAAACCCGTGTAATATGGGCAAGTACCTGAGCTACCGATCAATCTTGCAAAGTTTCAATAAAATTGCATCAGTGGTATAAGAGAAGTAGTCCGAATATAATTTTTTTTGAAGGCCCATACTTCCGACTTAAATCATTGAAATGCTGAAGTCATGTTCAACTAAACTTGGTACTGATCAATTCTGTAAAGCTAAGGTAATTGCACCGGTAGTTTTTTAGAGGTAGTTTTGTGACGGAGGGAAAGACGACGGAAAGAAGACGGAAAAGTGATCCCTATATGCCATATAAACACAATTCTTAGATCACAAACATGTTGATGAAATGATTCTTAACTTACAAGTACATTTTATCAACTAACACTAACATCTACTACTTACAATAGAAATGGCTTCTTAAGCTATTTTTTATGACATTAAGAGAGAAAAAATAGAAAGATTAAATCATTTAGTGCATGATTGTAGTGCTTTTTTTAGTATTCCATGCTTAAATTGATGTCATAATTCATTCTATTTTTTATGAAAACGTTGTGCTTTTTTATAAATGAAAACCACAGCATTTTCATTAAGGTTAAAGCCAGCTGTTTTTCATCAAATGGTGGAAGGAAAATTGAAAAAATATGATTTTTTTTTCAAAGCGAAATGGTGTTCAATATTATTTATTGGATCTACAAAATTACTAAATAAGAATTGTCTAATGAATTGTAATATGATAGTTTGTTCTTTCTGCGTAGGATTTGATTAGGCTACAGAAATCGTTAACTTAAGATTAAATGCTTAAAACACCGCTTAAAAGTATTTAATGATACTTGTGATTGTTGAGAAAAATTCCAACATTTAAAAGAAAAGTTTTCTGAATTGTATTTAGCTTGAAACAAACGTGTATATTGTTATTTAAAGTCGAATATGTAAGAATGTAAACGAGAATTCACAAAATAAGAACTTGGAAGTAAGATGGCATAAAAAACAAAAAGGCACCACTGAACAAAGAAATGGGCCAACACTTTAAAACGAAACCACAATTTTATTAATTCTAAAGACAAAAAAAATAAGTTCACATCAAACAAAACTAGTACAGAAACTATGAAAATAAAATCGAAATACTAATATAAATGTATTAAAATATAAACGATTATAATATTGTAATATTCAAAAGTGAATGTAAAAGTAGTAAATCTTTATTCAATACCTTTCTCATGTCATTCTTTTATTTCTTTTAGAAATATTCTTTTTTATCAGTTCAAGTAAGAGAATTTTTCAAAGTACATCTTTTTGGTATATGGGTAGTTATATAAAATATCTTCAAAACATTACAATTATTATGATATTTATTGGAATATTTGAACATGTTGACTTTGAAATGTCGTCTAAATATACATCAAAGTATATATGAGCCGCGTCACGACAAAACCAACATAGTGGGTTTGCGACAAGCATGGATCCTGACCAGCCTGCGCATCCGCGCAGTCTGATCAGGATCCATGCTGTTCGCTTACCAACTCTATTACAAGTGGAGAAACTGACAGCGAACAACATGGATCCTGATCAGACTGCGCGGATGTTTCTTTTTAAAAAAAATCCTGTCGAGGTTATTACATTGTTATATGAATGATCCAAAATAACGAGGAATGTTGATTTATGAAAAGGAAACTTAAAGTTATTATTTTTTTCTAGTGTAAACATATTTTATTTCCCTGAATACATGTTTCAAATTATAATATACACAAAGCATTTCAAAGTTGTTTTTTTTAAATCAGGATTACAATAAAAGACAAAGTATCTGATGAAATTATTTTCCTTGATTAGTAATTGACATATAATAGACGCTTAAATCATTACATATTGAATAATCGGAGAGGAATATAAGACAAAACAAAATCATTTAAGTTCATATTAGAAAGAAAAAGAAAAGAACAATAATTATGTACTTTAATGCTTTATGAAACATAGTATATGTTCCGTCTAATACATTAAGAGTGAAGATGTTATTGGTTCGAATAAATATTTATATAAACATACAATATAGAATAGTATTTGAAAAGAACACAGAAAGATGAAATGGTACGGAAGAAGGGGGAAGATTGATAATGAGTTGTCTGAAATATAGAAATATCATGGTTATGTGTTTGAGTGTCAAAAGAATCTTTTTGTCTCTTGGATGTAAGTGTGTACGTGTGAAACAATTATGCTATAAGTTTGGTCAGAAATATCTGGGTTGCCAAAAGTTATACATTTCACTCAATGTCAACAATATTCAAATTGCGAAGTAGGTAATTAGCTACTATTAGTTACTACAATTCTGGTCAATGATCTTATGGTGGCTGATCTCTGCCATCTCATAACTCCGCTCGCGGGCCGCCGGATGTTCTTCCGATCCTCGGAGCACAAGGCGAAAACAAGATAATAAGACAAAGTCATCACCTTGTCTTACGTTTGCTCCTGGAGGCACGAGAAGAAGACACGAAAATACGGCATGCCACCATAAGGTCCCTATGTATAGTAAGAAACAAAGGTTTGAACATTTACGTCTACTAAAATAAAAACACTCCCAATCAATTATACCCTATTGTGATATGAATAAATAACTTTGTTTTAATTAAATATTATTAAAAAAACAAGAATTTGTAACAGAGTTACCAACGTCCTCCGCCTCAGGGAAGTTTTATATGAAGCCTAAAATTGTGCTATTTCAAAAGATTGAGGTATGGATCTCAGGACTTTCAGTGCAAAATTATGATCAATGCTAGATTTCCAAATGCAACAATAAATTTATTAAAGAAATAAAATGAAACACGGAACTTAAAATTCTATCATGTTAAGCTTTGACATCTAAATGTGGCCTTGACCTTGGAGGTAGGGGTGCAGGTGTTGTGCATGACATATCGTCTTATTATTGTAACAATTTGTGCCAAGTATTTTCAAAATCCCTTGAACTATAAAGAAGTAACAGATCGGACACAAAATATACCCAATAACAGACTATGTTAATCTTTGACCTCTAAGTGTGACCTCGGAGGTAGGGACCCATGTTTTGCGCCTAACATATCGTCTTATTATTGTGATTATTTGTGTCAAGTATTTTTAAATCCTTTGATCTATGAAAAAGTAATGGACCGGACACAAAATATACCCCATAACAGACTATGTTAATCTTTGACCTCCAAGTGTGACCTTGACCTTGAAGGTAGGTGACCGGTTGTTGCACATGACACATCGTCTTATTATTGTAAACAATTGTGGCAAGTATTTACAAAATCCCTTTAAAATTAAAAAAGTTATGGACCGGACACGACAGAAATCCTCAAATAGACAATGTTGATCTTAAATGAGCAAGTGCGACCTTGACCCTGGAGGTAGATATCTGGTTTTGCGCATGACAAATCGATCGTCTAATTATAACAAACATTTGTGCCAAGTTATTTCAAATTCCTTTGATAAATGACAAGGTTATGGACCGGACACAAAAGTGTGACGGAAGGACGGACAGACGGACGGACGGAGCCTATTTCTATATCCCCCTTTTTTCTTCGAAAAGGCGGTAGACAAAAATCAAAACAAACCAAAAATCTTACAAACAATTCATATTTGCCGCGTCATTAAAAGAAGTCTGACTCCTGCTATTTTCATGTCACTTTGCTGATTTTAATGTCTCAGAGGGATGATCCTGCTTGAGTGTGTCCGGGGGCGGCGTCCCGTGAACGTTGCCTTTGCCTTGTTGATCTTTATTCTTGTTATTTTTTCCAGATATAACTATAGGAGGGTAGAAGAACCTCTGCTTCGGGTGAGGAAGGCCTCGCCAAATGCGTATTTTCAAAGTAAATTCTAAAGATAAAACTCATTACCCTCCACGTATGATAATTTTAAGCTGTGTATCTTATACAATCATCATGTATCGGCAATTCTGTTTCCAAATATACTATAATTCAGTTGGTTAAATGTAAAATTACATGTACTCGCCAGAGGAAAAATCAGAGGCGTCATTTCTTGCATTATTTCATGCTCGGGTCAATCCAATGACCTCTATTAATTAAAATGACTCGTTGTGCTTGATTGTCTCCGAATCGATAGCGTTTAGGGGCACTTGATTGAAAATCATCGATTTAAAATTTGTCATGTTGCTAATATTGCCATCGAAAAATTCCTTCGTAATAAAGAAAAGGTACGATGAGTGAAATACAAATGTTGAAACATCAACAGTTTTGTTATGTTTGTCAGCTGAGGAAATAAAGTTTACGTCGTTAAATTAGCTTAGGTATATAATAAAACGTAGAAAATGTACAAAATGAAAGCAAAAGTCAGCAAGG